TTCATATTCATATTCATATTCATATTCATATTCATATTCATATTCATTTTCATATTCATATTCATATTCATATTCATAAAGGAAACATTAATTAAGGCTTTTGATAGTTTATGTAATATAACTTTCTGAAATACTTCTCCCAGCTTATATGTATCTTGAACCGTTTTCAAGTCAGGCCGACTTTTGAAGCCACATCTAAAATTCATTCATCAATTAAATTATCTTCAAATACGAGATGCCCTTAAATACCCACTTTTTACTATGCCTTTGTTCAAAACCACTTTCATTTAAAGCAACCCTTTATATATTTGCTCCCATTCTTCTCTCTATATACCACATACATATATATGCATGTTACTCATTCTCTCTCACGCTTTGACATTGCATTTCTGGATAATCACAGCAGCAGTCATTGTCCTCTTGCAGAATCTGCAAAACAATATGAATTGCATTAAAATATTTGAAGTAGTCATTGTGTTGCCTGTAGGTAAGTAGGTAAGTATGTATGTACATATGTAGTCGGCAATGAATACGCACTTGAGTGAATAAGTACAAGCGCCATATTTAGAAATGCAAAGCATAGGTGTATCTCAAACGTATGCATTTAGCTAAAATGAGAAAAACTAGACCGGCTTAAGCATAGATGGATATTGGTAGGTATGTATGTACATATGTATATATGTAAGTAGTGCATTTTATAAATCGTCAACTGCAGTGCTAAAAATAGTGTAATACTAAGATTTTAGGGTATTATTTTCCCATAGTTAGCATTTGAATTTATGCTATTTTTATAGGTGCACAGGTTGACGGGAGATTAAAAAAAATATATAAGATTCATCTAATTATTTAGATGATACCAAGTTGTGTTAGGTTAGGTTTAAAAGTTCATTCGATGGTCACAGTGGTCCTTTGTGTTTGAAATCTCTGTAGTTAATGCTCAAGCCGTTATGCCGAGCTACGAATCTTGCAGCCCTATTACCAGTGATTTAGTATGCCGTTGGTATTATTTTGTGAGGAACCACAAGCTAAGCTTTGGGCATCTCAAAAACTTGCATGTTCTTGCTAAATTAAAAGTTACTCATACGCCATGTATTTCCATTCCATACTTGCCATGGCGTATGAGTAACATAAAGAATCCGGTCAATAACTTACGCTTATTTAGAACAAAGCAATGTTTGCCAGACTGATACCAATAGAATGAAAATAAAATCAAATTGAACATATGTACATACATGAATGTATATATTTTTAAATTCTCCCTCTAACGATAGTAAAAAATGCAACCACATTTGGTAAACGCGGGCGTGTATGGCGGTGGCATTTACTTATGTACGTCATTCATGCATCAAACGACAGTGTGCAATAAAACAATTTAAATGCAATTGAATCTATTAAATGTCTGCAATAAAGCTATTACCATACCAATTGCGAATGTATGTAAATACATAAATAAGTGTGTAGGTACAAATATTCCCAACTCGCGTCCACTTTATCTATCAATGCGTCTACACATCAACGACATAATCTATTGTAGCTGTATCAACGCCATGGTGTCGCGACGACGTCGACATATCAACAAAGAAAGACGTCAATACAATAGCAAATATATATAACGGCATAAAAAGAACAAAAATAACAACATGCAAAGCGTATGTAAGGGGGGGTTGGATTAAAGCAGTTAAGGATAAATCAATTTGTTAGCTTTAAATGAGATTAATGTTTTTGCCTGTTGCTTGCTGTAACATACATACACAAAAACACATACACAAGTATGCATACAAACCACCAAACGTGCATACAGCATGCAGCAATTAACTAGCAACACTGCAGACTACTACAAATAAAACTGTGAGCTCTCCCAACAATCACAAGCTATTTGGTTGGTGTTAGCCACAACGCAAGAATTATGGCCGACAGGTGTAGCTGCTAGAAATAGCGAATGATTTGTGTCCTTGACGCGCTTTCAGGTAGAAAAAATTAATTACAATTGTCAAATAGTAAATTCAAGGATGTTTGGTGCTTGATTTATAGAAAAAATATTTTAATACAACAATACATTCGATTATACCCCCCATTATGCGCTTATACATGTCTATAAATTTGCTGTTTATTATCAAGCATAAATTTGAATAATTTTGTGCAAATATTTTCCAAAATGTCTGGCCTAATTTCTGCTTTGATTAATGCTGTCAAAAAAACTGAGTTTTCTTTCTCATGGTAGAAATATGCTAAATGCTTGTCCTTCCTTGCCGCGGGGTGTGTTATAACGGGTGATTTTTTAAGAGCTTGATAACTTTTTTTTTAAAAAAAACGCATAAAATTTGCAAAATCTCATCGGTTCTTTATTTGAAACGTTAGATTGGTCCATGACATTTACTTTTTGAAGATAATTTCATTTAAATGTTGACCGCGGCTGCGTCTTAGGTGGTCCATTCGGAAAGTCCAATTTTGGGCAACTTTTTCGAGCATTTCGGCCGGAATAGCCCGAATTTCTTCGGAAATGTTGTCTTCCAAAGCTGGAATAGTTGCTGGCTTATTTCTGTAGACTTTAGACTTGACGTAGCCCCACAAAAAATAGTCTAAAGGCGTCAAATCGCATGATCTTGGTGGCCAACTTACCGGTCCATTTCTTGAGATGAATTGTTCTCCGAAGTTTTCCCTCAAAATGGCCATAGAATCGCGAGCTGTGTGGCATGTAGCGCCATCTTGTTGAAACCACATGTCAACCAAGTTCAGTTCTTCCATTTTTGGCAACAAAAAGTTTGTTAGCATCGAACGATAGCGATCGCCATTCACCGTAACGTTGCGTCCAACAGCATCTTTGAAAAAATACGGTCCAATGATTCCACCAGCGTACAAACCACACCAAACAGTGCATTTTTCGGGATGCATGGGCAGTTCTTGAACGGCTTCTGGTTGCTCTTCACTCCAAATGCGGCAATTTTGCTTATTTACGAAGCCATTCAACCAGAAATGAGCCTCATCGCTGAACAAAATTTGTCGATAAAAAAGCGGATTTTCTGCCACTGATTTTGGTAATAAAATTCAATGATTTGCAAGCGTTGCTCGTTAGTAAGTCTATTCATGATGAAATTTCAAAGCATACTGAGCATCTTTCTCTTTGACACCATGTCTGAAATCCCACGTGATCTGTCAAATACTAATGCATGAAAATCCTAACCTCAAAAAAATCACCCGTTATAATCAAACAGTCGATTCTTGGTTACACCAAAGCACAATTTTGTTTTTCATACAGTTGTGATCACAACTATGTCTTGCTGGAAAGTCCAACTGTTTTCAGGCAAGTTATCAGAAATTCTATAGAAAATTAATATATTTATGTGCACCTATGCTTTCCCTTTTTTTAGAAATGTAGAAGATTTTTTACTTTTTCCAAAAGTTATGCGCTGCACTTAGGACAATTTTTTCATGAAATTTCCGCCAAAATTATTATTATTATTTTTTTTTTTTTTTAATCCGG